GGGAAAAAACATGTAAAAAACATCAAAATATGAGAGGAATTGAAAGGTGGACAAAGACAGGATTTTCCCAGAGTTGGACACAGTAACAAGGGGACACATTTGGAAGGAAGCACAGTAAATCACGGGATGAAAGGAATATTTTTCACCCCGAGATTCAAAAGTGGAATATTTTTGGGAAAGCGATGTGTGGAGGCGGACCCATACATAGCTTTAAGAAAGGGGTATGATAAACTCACGGCTCGGGGGAGAGTGACCTAGAGCGATCAGTGAAGAGGCGGGGCAGGACCCGGACTCACCCCGCAACCTCAACTAGGTGGGTTAAAACTGGGTGAGTACACAACACATCACACACACCCCTAACACACACACACACACACCCCCACACACACCAAAACACACACACACAACACACATAACAACACACACACACACCCACACACCCCACACACACACACATGCACCCCACACCCACCCCAGAAACCACACACACAACACTACCACACACACACACACACACACCACACAAAAACCACACACACACACACACACACACACACACAATGCACACACACACGCCACACACACAAGCACACGACCCCAAACCCTAAGTGATAACAAGTTTTATTTAAAAAAAAGTCAGAGGAAGCCGAAATTTTTTTAAATTTTTTCAAAGTGTAAACCTTAGGGGTTAGTAGGCTTTTTTGGGGTTTACAATATTCAAATATAAAAAGTTCAAGTGATGTGGAAAGCGGGGGGTTCAAAAATTTTTCGAGTGATTGGATAACAAGTGAAATGGGGGGCACCAACAGTGGTGAAAAAAAAAAAAAATAAAAGGTAAAAAGGGAAAAATATATATAAAACAAGGGAAGGGGGATTTAGGCCGCTAAAAACAGTGATGTCACAACAGTTGTGTGACATTAAAATATAAAGCGTAACCCCGAATGTAAGTGATTCCAATAAAAGCGAAGTGTACTTACATAAGTGACAGGGACGCGGGTGCATGAGTATACGGTTAAAAAAGATCACAGGTAAGAATTT